CAGTAACAAAATCTGTGAGTTGAGAATTGTAATGCACAAATATGTAAATTTACTCTAAAAATTTCTCTTCAACACAGATACACATTGTAAAATCATCTGATTATCCATGGTTGATATGATTTAATCTTTCTTCATCTTTTTCATTGCTATGTTTGAGGATGTCTGTGGCCTTAAATTATAATAGGCACTTCAAATTTTGTATCTTAAAATGTTCACATATAGAAAATTATAAAAAGTATGAAAAGGGTCATAAAATGTCTGTTCATGTCATGCTGGGGAGGTTACTATAACAGTTATTTCATGATCATTAGTTTTGAAATCAACTTAATCTTTAAAGCAATAAAAGCCCCATAAATATTGTTTCTCCCATTGCAAAAAACCTACCTGCATGTAAATCTTCACTGACTTTTCAATGTGTCAAATTTGATTTCAAATCAATATCACCTGATTTTTTTTCTCCACCAGTTTTATTTAAATTTAAATGCTTGATTTAAGCATCAGTAGTTCTTTGTACCTATAACAAAATGTCTCTAAAGGGGATGTGGGCTGGAAAAAGTTAATATAAACTTTCTAGTCATAGGTGTTTTGTTGTTAAATTTTCACAGAATGTTAATGTTGAACATTTAAGTAGATGCATGGACACCAAGGGGGGGAAGTGGCGGGAGGGTGGTGGTGGGATGAATTGGGAGATTGGGATTGACCTGTATACACTGATGTGTATAAAATGGATAACTAATAAGAACCTACTGTATAAAAAATAAATAAATAAAATTTTTTTAAAAAAGAAAATTTAAGTAGATGCAGATAAACTTCATGCATTCCAAATTCACTTTCTACTTAATGAGATAATACATAAATTAATTTTCTCATAAAAAATTGAGAAATAATGGGAGAAATTATGTTTTTATTCAGTCAGTAATTAGATTGTAGCTTTTAATGCAATCTACCACTCTTAGGCATTAAAAGGATAGTTGGAACTTCCTGCCTTGATAGACTTGATCTGATATCACTGAAAAGAAGAGCTTGTTGAAATTCTCAATGGAAATACAACAAAAAGATCATTTTTCCTAGACTATTTCTTAAATTCCTTAAGCAAACCTAACAAATGTTTATTCTAAATATATGTTACAATTTTAGGCACATCAATAAAAAGCTATTACTTGTATAGCTTGAGTAAGGGGTATTTTTTATTTATTAAAACTTTGTAATCAAAGCAACTGTATAGTTTCTCTTTAATAATTAAGTAGATCTGATTAATTATTCAGCACCCAATCTACCTTGGATTTATAAACGCTGGTTTTGTATGTCAGTTATTCTTTTTTCAGAACTGCAAAATATTTTGTTCATTTGACAATTCTTTTGACAAGTTTAAATTCTTGTTAAAATCATAATGTTAATTCCATAAAATGAAAGCACTCAACTTCGTGGTAAACATAGTAGGAGAACAAAATGATAGTTTAGCAAATTCAGAATTAATACAAACAACTAATTTTAGTAAATTCAACTTCTGATTTTATGAACGTTTTAGAAAAAATTACTAACAAAATTATCCAATTAGCTGGCTTCTAGATTGCTCAGTTACTGATATGTGTTTATATATTAAAATTTATGAAGTTATTAGGCCCAAAGATTCATAAAAGTATATTTATTCCTAAGCATTAAAGAATCATATGTATATATTATAGAACAACAGTTCTCACAATTGACTGAATTTAAGAAATGTTTATTCATAGAATCACAAATAGACACATTCAAAAACACGTAACATATGTTTAGGGAATTCAATTAACTGGAATATGTCAGTATCAGATTTTAACACAGATTGAAAGAAAAATCCTTATATTGTGATGGGTTAATAGCATAGTGAAAATCTGTTGTAGAATAAATCTATTTTTAAAAGCCATTTGTGTTCAGTATTTAATCAGATGTTGATATCTGGGAGTGTGCAATCTCTTATTCAAAGGGTGGTAAAATCAATATATCGTTAAGAAAACTAAAATTTTAATGTATACAATATTAAGGGAAAGTTTTTAAATGTTGCTTTAATATGACTTTTTAATTTTTACCAGTTATTTAGTTATTTTGTTTAAAAAATAAAACTAAATCAGAGGAAAACTAGTCTGAGGTAAAAAATTGTAGACCTTTTCAGAAATCTATTTTTTAATTATTAACTCAAACAGTAGTCAACTTAGTTTATTGACAGTAGTGCAGAGCAGCCTTATAAAGAAATAACAATATTTAGAAATACTTTCCTCATTTTTATTTTGAATGGATGCTCCTAAATATTAAATATATTTTCAATATTGCTTTCATAAAATAAACTTGCAAAACCTACGAGTTATAGCATCTGAAAAGATAAATCCCATATATTCCTGAGTCATTATAAATTATAACTTAATGGGAATGGAATTTATAAAGAAACACTTTACTTTTTACTTTAAAATTTTTTAAAAAAATTGTGTCTTTGAACATCATTTAGAGTTGGCAGGAATCAGATGGAACGCTTGCATTGCCTAGGGAAGCATTCTACATTAACTGTACAGGGAATCGTATGGCAGATATCAATGACACAAATGCAGCTATAGCACATACCTTAGAAAACCTGGTGGAAAGCATGTAAGAGTGCCTGTGATATATGGGTTTCTTTAACTCTATCCTTATCTTTTAAAAAACCCTAAATTGTTTGCAAACATTGCTATTTAACCATTATTGGTAAATAAAATCATTGCAACTTCACAATTCATAGCCACAAATTGCTGAGAAACAAAATGAGCCTGTATTATTGAAGAAAAAAATATAGTCTCAGCAGTTTTATTTTAGTTCCAACTGCAAAGGTTTAATTTCCTTTTCACACTCACTCCTGTTGGTCTGTGGAGACAGTGTAGTGGCTGAAATTGCAGCTCTGGGGTCAGACTGTCATGGTGGAATGCTTGCATAGAGAACGTGTCTCAGATTACCTGCAACTGCAGTGTTTCAAAACCTGGCCAGATCGAAAGTATCACTGGGGCTGCTTGTCACATAGGGGCTCCTGAACTAAGACAAATCTACTGAGTTGGAACTCCGGTGCAGAGACCCAGTGATGTGTAGTTTCCCCACACAGCCCAGGTAATCAGGCCATTTGGGGAAACCTGGTGTTAATGCAGTCTCACTTGGCAGGGCAGCTAACCTGAACTGAAGGCTTCAGTCACCCTACTAATTCCATTCTTTCACACTTTCATTGAATACATAGTACGTAGCTTATTCTCTAGTGGGCGCTGGAGAGGTGTGGGTAAACACAGGAGCCCTGCCTAGTTGACAATCTTGTTTGGAGTGCTCTGTGTTGCAATAGAGTTGCAACATCCTTTAAAGCTGTCCCCTTTGATTGTAGGGTAGGGGCACTTTCTTAGTTCCAGCTGCTGTAACAGAATACAGTAGACTGGGTGGTTTATAAACAACAGAAATTTATCAGGGTACCGGCAGATTCCATGTCTGGTGAGAGCCCACTTCCTGGTTCACAGATGGCTGTGTCCCCGTGTGGCAAAACTAGCAAGGGAATACTCTGGGATCTCTTTTGTAAGGTCATTAATCCCATTCATGAGGGCTCTGCCCTCACGACCTAATCACTTCCCAAAGGCCTCCACTTCCAAATACCATTACGTTGGAAATTAAGTTTCCACATAAGAAGTTTTGGGGGGACACAAACATTTAGTCTATAGCATGCACCTTGAAATACCACACTAAAGCTGGGAACTCAAGAGGAGTCAGTCTTGGAATAGAATCAGAATACATGGTATTGTATTTTATCTACCTGTGTTCTTCACGAAATTTTTTGTTTGTTTTTATGACATTATGGCATATTCATGACACAGTTTCACTTCATTAGTAGCTCTCCCTGCAACTTTGCTTTTATCATTTCATTTTATTCTACTGTTCATCTCTTTTTATAATATACTCAGTGGTTTGATTGCTGAATTATTGTGTGGTCTTTTACAACCTAATTTAAAATAACTGCAAGAGTGGGGTTACGGGAGATAATTTTATTGATGAATTTTATAATTAATTATATATCGACACAGTCCAGTATCATATTTAGGCTAATTATAAAATGTAATTACTAGGATATCCGAGGTGGTTGGCTGCTGTCTAAAGCTATCATTTTGAAATACAATTTTCACTTGCTGATTACTATAACCTCCTTTAATTTGTGGATAAATCATTCTCTGTTCTTTCTCTGGAGAAATTGATTTGGAAGCATTCATTATAGAAGTAAGATAATGAAATATCCCACAGTAAAGTCTTTGAAGATAAGACGATTAAAACAACAGTTGATAGACAGTTCAGAAGGTGGTCACACACTTACTTATTTTCATCAGTTAATGCAACTTATGATTTTCCCACTGCTTAACAAGGTTTGACAATTTTAAGGATGGTTTAATCATGAAATGTTTTATTTCCTTTTTAATTTGAACATTCTGGAAGCCTGACAATTCTCAGGTTTCCCTTTGGGAATTTAACCTCTCTTTGTAGTAACTAGTCTATAATCTACTAGCTTTCATTTAAAAAAAAAAAGAAAAAGAAAAGAAAAAAGTGAAATCATAAAAATACAGTAAGTGTTGAGTCAAATATTTAATGTCATTGTCTTTTATAAATAATGAACTCATGATTGGAAATTGTTCTCTTAGTGACTTTTTTTTTCTATCGTTAGCAGGTTATGAATGACTATGAATAAAATCAATAAGAATTTACTATATATACATGTAACTTCTTTTTGATTTCTGCACTTTTTGTGTTTGATCCTAGGAAATACATATCTATAAAATGTGTGTGTCGTGTGTAGTGCCCACCTTCCACCAGGCGTTATCCTTGGGAAGCTAACTTGGGTTTAGTAGGCTGAGCATTGCCATTTAGATTCTTAGGTTAGTTTTGCTGCATTAAGCTCATTTACTGTCTGGAGCAGATGGGTGAACAGTGTTAATGTGAGTACTAAGCCTTTTCATCCTTTACTTCTGCTTTTGTTACAGAAACCCTTGAAACTCTCATCAGACAAGCAGAAAATTACACCAGTATACTGTTCTGCAACACCTACAGGAACATGGCCTTAGAGGCCGCTGCTTCCGTCCAGGAGTTCTTCACTGATGTAGGGCTCTATTTATTTGGTGCGGATGTTAATCCTGAAGAATTCGTAAACAGATTCTTTGACAGTCTTTTCCCTCTAGTCTACAATCATCTCATTAACCCTGGTGACAGTTCCCTGGAATACTCAGAATGCATCCGGATGGCCCGCCGGGACATTAGCCCATTTGGTAATATTCCCAAAAGAGTACTGGGGCAGATGGGGCGATCGCTGCTGCCCAGTCGCACATTTCTGCAGGCGCTGAATCTGGGCATTGAAGTCATCAATACCACAGACCATCTGCACTTCTCCAAAGAGTGCAGCAGAGCCCTCCTTAGGATGCAGTACTGCCCGCACTGCCAAGGCCTGACTCTCAGTAAGCCTTGCATGGGATACTGCCTCAACGTCGTGCGAGGCTGCTTGGCACACATGGCAGAGCTTAACCCACACTGGTATATGTACATCCTGTCATTGGAAGAGCTGTCAGATGCCATGCATGGGACATACGACATTGAGCACGTGCTGCTGAACTTCCACTTGCTCGTTAATGATGCTGTGGTGCAGGCTCACCTTGACAGACAGAAACTATTGGAACAGGTAAGCAGCCACTCAGTGTTTACTGATTTCTTAGAACTCAGCAATTAACTATATATTACATAAAGTGTGTGGATTATAAGCACATCGTCATGTACTTTAAATTATGGCAGCTTAACAAGCTAATACTTTAGGAAATAGTAGGAGAATGCATGAGTTATCATATTCAATTCTAAATGTATTTTACATCTTACATAAAAATTTTGGTTAGCTAAAATACCAGTTCCTCCTCTAAGTAGAAGTCGTCTTATAGGGTTAGTTCAGTGAGGTAGAGAGGGCTCAGTTTTAAAATCAGGACCAGTATAGACTTGATTCTGCTGTCTGCCAGTAATTCTCAAGTCCCTTAGCTTCTCTGAGCCTCAGTTTCCTCACTGATAAGAAGAAAATAGTAACACATAACTTTCGGAGTATTCTTTTTTGGGAAGATAGGCAATCATGTAGGCATACTACCTAGTATGGTGCCTGGTACTCCAAAAATGGGTAGTTATTGTTGGCATTTCAAAAGTATTCAGCTTTAAAATAGAAAATGCCAGTTATATAGTCATTAAATGAACACTTGATATCTTAGGTTTCAAAAGTGTTTCTTCAGAGACGCTCCAGAATCTGGCACCATCGTGGTGTGATGATTTTTTAAAACATGGTATATATGGCATCACAGTGCTTTCTTCCAGGGAGACTTTAAGAAACAAAATAATCAAATCAAAGGACATAAGAGTTTTCTATTTCACTCACCTTCTGTAGAACCATTTCAAAAAATATTCCCAGCCCCTTTAGTAATAGTTCTCATATCCTATACAGTGAAGTAAGACACACTGTTGCTCTTTATCCTAAATCTTTTGTCCTGAAATAAAATTATACTCTTAGTGCCAACAGAATACATCTCCCCACCCTGGCACTGATTTACTGAATTAATAAACATTCTCATTATTGGCTTTGTAAGTCTGTTCCTTTCATTAATTTCCAATAGAAATTGGATATGAAAATCTTTATGTCCAAGCACATACCCCACCTTTTCTTGCTAACTTCCAAGGTCTTTGCAGTACCTGTGTGAGCCAATATGGTACCTTCATGCAAATTAGAAATGGTGTCATCTTTCGGTGGATGTCGTGCCATGCTGTGGCTCAGCAGGTCCAGCGTGAGCTGGATTTCACTTCTCACTCCTGATTCATTCAACTGGGTATCCTTATGTAGTCAACAAGGCTCCCAACCATATGCAATGGTCCTGGTCTTTTTGCAGTATCTCATTCCTTTAGGGATATCATACATGCACCAAAACTTTTGCAAGAGGTGTAATAAACCAACTCAAAATGAGGTTTATAATAGAATTCTAAGTTTTCATGTATTTCATAGTTATGAGGAATAAGCATTTAGGGTCAGGAAACAAAACATCAATAATATTGAGTATCTCCAGAAGGAAAACAGGTACAAGAAATCTGAAACCAAGTCTAGATTTGAATTATTATATAATTTCGGACAAGCCATTTAACCTTTCAGGGCCAGAGTTTTCTAATATATATAAGTGAACTGATTTTTAAGATTCTTTTTTTTTTTTTTTTTTTTTTTTTTTTTTTTT